AGTGCCCATCGACCCATGAATGGATCAATAAATTGTGGTATATGTACACCATGGAATATTATGCAGCCTTAAAGAAAGATGGAGGCTTTACCTCTTTCATGTTTATGTGGATGGAGCTGGAACATATTCTTCTTAGCAGAACTTTCACTCTTTTGCTGCTCTTTGTGGGTAATGTCCTCCTCATCCACCCTCTGGCTGTTTTTTGAGACTTCTGCTTGTCTTTGAATATTGAACTAATTTTCTATGAGTACCTAGGGAAAGTTTCATTTGTACATATTTTGTTTGGAGTATGTAGAAATCCCCAAACTTCTGGATTAATGTCTTTTATAATTTGGGAGAAATTATCAACCAATATCTCTTCATCAATATACTTATACTGATTCTGCCCAATTTCCCCTCTCCTTTCTCTCTGAAATTTAAATTGTGGACTTGTTAGACCTTTTCATTATATCACATAATTCTCTTATCTTTGTCTCTGTATTTTTCATTCTTTTTTTTTTTGGAGACAGAGTCTCACTATGTTGCCCTTGGTAGAGTGCCATGGCAACACAGCAACATCCAACTCTTGGGCTTAAGCAATTCATTCTCTTGCCCCAGCCTCCCAAGTAGCGGGACTACAGGCGCCTGCCGTAACGCCTGACTATTTTTATGTTGCAGTTGTCATTGTTGCTTAGCTGGCCTGGTCTGGGTTTGAACCCACCAGCCTCAGTGTATGTGGCTGGCACCATAATTGCTGTACTACAAGGACAGAGCTATGTATTTTTCACTCTTTATGTTTTTCCTTTCAGATCTTCGGTTTGATTATTTTCTACTGATCAAGATTCCATCTTGTTCCTTTCTCAAGTTGTGTTTAATCTGTTCTTCAATCTATATGTTGATTTTTTCAGTTATTTATTTTTTAGTTCTAGAATTTCCATTTGGTTATTTTTTAATACATTCCAATTTCACAGTGAAATTCAACATCTTTTATTTTCCAAAACATATTAATCATAGTTATTGTAAAGCTTGTGTCTGATAATTCTATGATTAGGATCACCTATAGGTGTATTTTGTTGCATACATTCTTGGATTTTAGCCATTTGATTCTGTTTCCTGCCATGCCTGGTAATTTTGGATTGTATAGTAGAGATTATATGTGAAAAATTGTAAAGCCTATGAGTAACTTGATCATCTTTCACAGAGGACTTACTTTTCTATGTTAGACATTTAAAGTACTGGCAAATCATCTTGATTTACTCAGGAATCAAAATTATTTGAGAACATATGGTCTTAATGGAAAATCTGCTATATTTATCAGGGCCATTCTTTCTTGGAAAGACTGATTTTTGTCTCATTAACATCATGTACCAACAAAATGTAGCCTTCTGTTTTGTTATTTGAGGCTATTATTTTGCTTATTTGAGACTACTTTAAAGATACTTTCTAAACAGTTCCTCAGCCTCTTGCCCTTTTGTATACAGCTCAGGCATAATCATATAACTCAAGTGGATGCTAAGTGCAGAATATTGAGTTCACTTCTTTCTGATTCCCTTTTTCCAGGGATTTTTACCCTCAATTTCTGGATGCTTTGATAGCCCTGAACTCTAATTTTTGTCTCCCAGATCAGCGACTGCTCTAGAACATCATATGCAATTTGGCTTCTACACAAAACTGCAAAGGCCATGAGGGGAAAATGTAGCAGTGAATATGAGGCTCATTTCAGTGGACTTTTCTGCTCTTCAAATATTGGCTTTTTAAGTGCTGGCTGCTCTTGTTGCTATTGGATGTCTTCAAAAACTTATCTTTTTAATCAAACTTTTATAATTATTGATAGCAGAAGATTAATACAAGCTACTTCTTTATCATATAAAGTAGAACTCTATTTCATCTCATTTTCACAATATCCCTAGGAATTAACTATTATTAATTTTTAAAGATAGACTGTTACATAAACTTTGGAATCAGATTTGGAAATGTTGCATTTTGGTCACTGGCCAAAATGTAACACCTTGGACAAATTTAACCTCCCCTTCCCTCTTAATCAACATTTGGAAGATGAAATGGAAGAAATCTTAAAAGATCAAGTAGTCCCACTTTTATTTACACTATTTCAGAGCATGGCAAAATAAAAATTTCTAAATTCATTGTATAAATTTGGTTTCATTTTAATTCCCAAATCTAAGGAAAATAGTAGGCCAATCTCACTTATGAATACCAATACAAAGACTTGTAGACCAATAAATGTAAAAAATAAATTTTAACCATAGCAAATAGAATCAGCAGCATATTTTTAAAAAGTATGTAATAACTAAGAAAAGCATATTCCATAAATGCAGGGATAGTAGCAAATTATGAAATTTACTATGTACGTGAACCTATTAATAGTCCCAAAGGGAAAAAAATCATATGATCATCTTCATAAATACAGAAAACGTACTTGATAAAATTCAGCACATATTTATTTTATTTTAGTTTTTATTCAACAAATATGTATTGAGCATCTGCTCTACTATAGCACTGAGGACATAAGGGTGGAAAAGATTTTGGCACCATCCCAACTCACATTCCAGTGGAAGGAAACAGTCAATAAATAAGGGAGTAAGGGAACAAGCTATTTTTAGCTAGAACATACATTTATTTTCAAAAACTCAGTAAAGTATGTATTGACTCCATTTATATAATAAACATACCTCAGGCCAAAAGCCAGTGCTTCACTTAATGGGAATATGCTAAAGGTTTTCTTCTTAAAGTCAAAAACAAGACAAGGATGCCAGTCTGCCCACAACATGTAACATTTGGTTGGAGAATTAGTTAAGGCAATACGACAAGAGAAAACAATTAGAGGTCTAGGAATTGTCAAGAAGAGATAAAATCATCACTATTTGAAAATTATATAAATATTCAAATAGAAATTCCAAAAGAATTGATGTAAAAATTTTTACAAACAATAAGAAATTTAGTCAAATGGCTGGTTATGAGACGAATATCAAATCAACTGACACTATGTAGACATACAAAAGCCATTTAGAAGAAATAATGAAAGAGAATATTCCACTTATGATAATAAAATATATCTGTGTGTATATATAAGAATTATTCAAAATATGCATAAGGAAAACTCCAAAATGATCTTGAAAGAAGCAAAGTTAGACCTGAACAAATTATTAGAAATACATCATGTTATTAGAAGAGAAACATTGTCAACATTGTAATATAGATGTCAGCTTTCCCTAAATTTATACATTTTATGCAATTACAATAAAATTTCATAGAGTTTTGTCTGGAGCTATAAAAGTTGAGCATGAGTCCCTCCTTGTCCATAAATGCTGGTTGTTTCCAGGGATGGAGGTGCCAGGTTATAGCGTAGGGAGCTGGGGAACAGTTTAGGAAGGGCTGGATTTGCTTAGTATATCATATGTTCCTGGTTTATGTTTATCCAGTTATACTTATTGTCTCTGTGCCCCCTCTTATGAACCCTGACCTGGTGAGTAGCCCCCAGGAACCTGCATGTGGTTTGTTGTGCTTGTTCTGGGCTGTTGGTTGGTAACAGAAGTCTCGAATACAACTTGGATAGGACAAATTTTCCAGAGCCTCCTGTTTCATCTCTAATACTGACCTGCACCTGATGACCACAGAGGATACTAGGAAAGAATGCTAAGATGCAAAAGATAATGCTATTTGCTTAAAAGTGCTGGTGTTGAAGAGGTAGCCCACATTCAGTGTTTTCTCTTCTTTAATTGCTAGGATGGATTTTCAGCTTCTTTTCAACCTCAGGCTTTTTATCATAAATGGATCATTTATGATGACTTATAGATGTATTTTATTAGTCATGAAACCACAATATACGTTTTCACCCTTCTTCCCCAACCATTACTTCTCTTGGGGACTTTTCCGTCTTTTAGAGCTATCCTGTACTCGCTCCCACCATCTGGCCTTTTCTTATGCCCATCTCTCTTCTTGGGGGCAGCCTTTCTTCCCTATTTCATTTGATAACCTGCCCATTGTTCAATCCTATTTTCCAAGGTTCTCTGAAAAACACTTTCCCTAGGCCAGGCGTAATAGTTTATGCCTATAATCTCAGAATTTTAGGAGTCTAAGAGGGGAAGATCGCTTGAGACCAAGAGTTAGAGACCAGCTTGGACAATATAGTGAGATCCCATGTCTATAAAAAATAAAAAAAATTAGCTGGGCATGGTGGCATGTGCCTGTAATCTTAGCTACTTGGAACGCAAGGCTAGAGGGTCCTTGTAGCCCAGCGTTGGAAGGTTATTACAGTGAGCTATGATTGTGCCACTGAATTTCAGCCTAGACAACAGAGGAAGATTCTGTCTCTGTAAATATAAAAAAAATACTCTTTGATTTCTCAGTAATTTGTGTTTATTCTGTAGGCCCCAGTTCAACTGTGAATATCATACAGGAACTCTGTTTTACCTGGGTAACTTCTGAAACACTTTGCTTGTTGCCTTAAACATATCAAGCATCAGTAAAAATGGGATTGAATTAGGAATTGGGAAAATCCAAGGGATTCATTTTGTCCAGTGGCATGAAATGGTTATCCAAATTATCCATAGGATCTCACCCTTTGGAAACTATGAGTTGGGTTCATATAATCAATCAACAGATGATGCCAGTGACCTGCACAAGAGCAATGGAGGCCTTCACCCTAGCATCACAAAGCAGAACATACTTTTGGTTAGATGACTTTAGTTTTTGTCCCCTTATGTTGTCTCCAGGTTCTATAGCATCTGTAGTCTAGGCAGAGGGTAGGGCATCAACCTGAACAGGGTCTTCCCTAATATTTGGTACCAGCGCAGATTCCATGTAAGGAAGACCCTAAGAGTTAGATGTGCTCATTAAAATCTGCATGATTAACAACCTATTTTTTTTTTTGCCTGAGCCCCTAAAGCAACAAGTTGTTCACATTTATAGGTGTGTACATGTGTATGTGTATTCTGATTTTAGAAGACCCAACATTTCTGAATGTCATGTTCTTCAAAAACACAGTCTTTCTTTTGTTGCAGGAATCCAGAAGCTTTGACGTCGCAAGAAGAGAAGGTAGGAAAAAATGCACTCATACCCATTTTATTCTTAGTGTTGACATTTTGGAAGTAGTTTGTGAAACCAAGATGAACTTCAGACTGTGGACAGTTCATTCTTTGAAATTTTATGTGGCCCTTTCTGGGTGTTGACTGCTTGGCACTTGGTTCTAGGTACTCCAAGAACTGAAGGCCAGGTTTGCTTATTAAAACTATACCTTCTACCTTCCAGTACCAGAGATGAGATCTGGGGAACTGGCTCATTCACATCACGGGTATGGTCTCTTAAGAGAAACCTCAGTTTTGAGTGAAGTTTGAAGTAATTATTTTTATCCACCAAAAGTAACATCATCAACAAAATCAATGGCTTTCAGTTTGTGATATTTTGAAATCTGGGAAGAGATGCCACTGTGAAAAATATTTTTGATTAGATTTTATACAGCCTCAGCTTAGCCAAAATAGAAAGAACCAATTAATTTTCCTTTTGAAATCAATTCCACGATGTTCTATTTTCCCTGCCAGTATTCCTCTTGGCACATTTGTTTTCTGGTCTCTAGGGTAAGCATGTACGAGTGGTAATTTCAGAAATCTTTTAGTGGAAATTGAAGTTTCCTTATTCATTTTCAGTAATGCTCAGTCTATAAGATGAGATCTTTTGTATATATTTTTTTTATTGTTTGGGATTCATGGAGGGTACAAAGAATTAGGTTACACTACATTTCTAAGATTTGTAGAATCATTGCCTATCATCTCTTTATTGTAGGGATAGGACAGTGAAGTCAGAAACCAAAATGAGTATTTAATCTAGGGTGTGGCCTTTTGGTTTTAGCCTTAACCACATTCTTCTCTGTGGTACTACCTCCAAAAAGAGTGACAATCTAAAAAGTTAGCACATGCTACACTTACTTAAATCTAACATTTCCTGGCTTCCTGGCTAGTTCTTATGTTATGCAAGCCAATGAAAGACACAGGATGATCATGTTATCACATGTGTTTCTAGAGCTCAGGACCCTAAACTTTTTGTGCTATCTCTATCTGGGCCAATGTGCTGTTTGCTGCTGTCTGTGGTGCTGAGATCCTGAGGTTAGCGGATCTGCTAATCTGACTCCATTTGCCATTATCTTTTGTTTTGGACTTTATGTCCTCTGAACTGTATCTGCAGGGAAAACTGCATTGTTTGGTTATTAAAGCCAATGAAATCAGATGAAGGTGAATGGGGGAGGGAAGAATGTTTCTTATTGAAAGCAGTATTCACAGTGGGCACAGTCACCCATGTGAGTTGGATAGAAATAGCCTTTAGGAGAGGAGACTTTGACGTGAACTTTGGTTTTGAATAACATTCTATGTATGTCAGTACCCCTGAGTATGAATATTTGGAGTTAATTTGCATTATGGAATCACATACAAGTTCAGCCTTTTCAAATCTTACCATGCTTGTGTTGGAAATGTCTCTAATAAGGCTGGGATTGTAAGAGAACCATCTATATTTCCTCTCAATGAGGTAAAATGGTGTGATTGACCTTATGGCTTCAAACCCCAGAAGAATGCAAGTGTCCAGAGGGTGAGTGAAGGCTTAGTGAGGCTGACCTCTATTCATCCATAACCTCTCCCTCTCTGGAAGTGTCAGCTTTTATAACTGCTTGATTAAGAACATATGCTTTGGGCTTGCACTGGCAAATTTTTCTTGGTATCACATAAACTTTTTTCTTCCTATTGTGCAGTGATATCTTTCTTGCTTGTTTCTGTCAAAGTTGAGCGTTTGAGAGTTCCTGAAATAGCCCAGTGCCTTAATGTCAATGTTTATACGCTGGTAGGAAGGATAGGGTTTTGCAGGTTGGTTCCAAATATTTTTAGGTCTGAGAATTTACTGACTTCAATTGTGGGTTTCTTCATCTTCTTCGGAATAAAAGCAGGATGGATGTTTCAGTAAATTAAGACATTATTGTTTAGCAACAAACGCTTAGGTTGTTCCTGGCTCTAACTTGACCTGGAACTAGAAGGGGGGCAGCTGAGTGATACCTGCAAAGACCTTTTCCTCACTAACCCTCCAGTCCCTCACAGCCTTAGCCCAGGGCCATGTTCAACAGTATTTCTTATATTAAGCACAAACTGCATGTTTGCTCTGTGTGTAATGTCTTTTCACTTTGGTCCTGTCCTAGTGATAGTCAAGGGAGGTACTGAGTCCTTTAATTCTAGAAAGGTACCTTTTAAGCACTATTCTATGGATATCCATTAGATAGCTCTGGCTGATGCATTGATGAAAGTGCTCCCTATTCAAATAAGCTTGGTGTTTTGGGTTGAATTGTGTTCTCCCAAAAGTTGTGTTGAAGTCCCGACCCAGAACCTATGAGTGTGACCTTACTTGGAGATAGGGTTTTGGCAGATACAGTCAGGTAAAGATGAAATTGTACTGGATAAGGGCAGGTCCTAACTGATGGGTGGTGTCCTTATAAGAACTGGGAAATGTGCACATAGACATGCAGGGAGAATGCCTTGATGATGGAGGCAGAGGATTGCTGGCAACACCAGAAGCTAAAAAGACACAATGAAGACTCCGTCCCCGGAGCTTTCAGAGACAGCATAGCCCTGAAAGAGGCTTCAGCTCCAGAACTGTGAGAAAATCAATTTTTATTGTTTTAAGTCACCTAATCTGTAGAACTTTATTATGGCAGCCCTGGGACACTAGTACACTTGGAAAATGCTGGACTCAGGAAACTTGAGCTGGTTTCTGTTGCTGCTGTTGATGATGACACGTTTCCTATAGAATCTCTCAGGATTTTTCCTATGCTAAATATGACTCTCAGCAGGGAATGTCAGATGCAGCATTTTCCAAATTTAGTCTCCTATGGAATTAAGCGAAACTAATTTTGTTGTTTTTGATCATCTCAGGGCTGGCATCCTTTGTGGTGCCCTTTGCAAACCCTGCTCTAGAGAGCCCAGAAAGAGAGAGGGCTTCCTCAGAGTGCCCATGCAGTAAGGACTGTCCTCCATGGCCTGTGTGTGCACAGAACAGTGAGGTGGTGATAGAGACAATAACTTCTCGGGTATTGTGAAGTTTTCAGAAAGCGTTCATGTTCTTTACTTCCCTTGACCTTTAGTAACCTGTAACAGAAACAGACCGAGTAGCACCTTACCCGTGAGATTCCTCCCTTCCTTTCCATGTTAATTTTCAGCAGGGCCAAGGACTCCCTCTGGGGGGCTGATGGCTTTTTCAACCTTTTTTTAATCTCAAAGCACACTTGACTCCATAGTTAATCTTCTGTGCCACACTTAAGTTGTTGATCAGAAAAAAAAAAAAAGAATAAAAATAAGAATATACTTACTATGCTTTGAACTTGTTTTGAAAATAATTAATGGTCTTTAAAATTTTTTGCGGCACAATAAGTGAAAATCACTGCTGTCATGAGTGAAGGTGGCTCAAATGACTTGACCTTACTCTGTCACATCCCAGGGCTTCTGCACGTCAAGTTGGCTGCCAAGCCCAGAGAGCTAAAACAGTCTCTTGGAAGAAAACTTGCTGGAAGGCTTTGTTTCCAACTTAGATGTAAGAGCACTCAGGGGACTGAGAGGGAGCTATAGTTGGAGAGATGGTGATGGGACTATGAGTCTGATAAGGGTCCTTCTAGGAAGGCAGAGAAGGGCACGTGCCTTCCTCCAAGAGATGGAGCCACTTCTCCTTCAGGGCAGTCCTGATCATTCCCCATCCTTCTGTCGAGTACCTGCCCATGCTAGATGCATGGGCAAGAAGCAATGGCTGTATCTTCCTCTGCTTTCCAGAGAAGGTATTTTTATACCTCTTCCCAGACACCTAAAATTTAATTTCAACCTTTTTCTGAAGCTTCAGCAAAAGGTACCAACCCCACCTCTCCAAAACGCCCTATGCCCACTCTGACAGCCAGTGCTGATTGTGACTGCCAAAACTCATCTGCTCAGACCAGTACTTTTCTCTGACTGATCCCATTACGCTGAATTACAGCCATGAGAGAACACTTGAGTGAGCTGAGCAAGTGGCTGGGCTAATTCAGCCCTTGTCATCCATCTCATAGGAGCATGGGGGTGATCTGCAAGCTATTTCAAATGTCTGTGATTGTGCTGTGATTAGGGGCTGCGAGTTTGGGGATGGGCACCAATGTCATGTTGCATTGCCCACCCTCTCAGTGATGGCTCCCTCATGTGTTCCAGCCCAGCCTCGACAGGCCTGGCTTCCAGCCAGGGAGCCCGGGAGGGAGGGCTGCTGCTGTCTTCAGGGAAGAGGAAAGACACACCCAGCCTGGCTCTCACCTCTTAGGCTGTGTAGCAATGCAGCTCTCCTACATAAACATGACCTTCCAGTCCTGAGTGTGACCAGAGCCTCACTTTCTGCAAACCCTTGGAATTAGTCCCTAATTGGCAGCTGCCTCGAATAGCCCCTTTATAGTTCTGTGCATATGGGTGAACCTCAGCTATCAAGAACTGCGTTCTGTTTACCATTAATTCTGATTTTGTTTAGCAGATGTTTCCTGGATCTCTTGTTTGCCTGTATAATCTGTCTTGCTATAATGTGAAGTGGCAGACTCTCTTCAATGAAGCAGATTAATAAACTGCTAGGTTATTTCGAGGTAACTTCTTTAATGGCTGCAGACGTAGGAAATTTAAAAAGAAGCTGTCCAGATTTGACAGTGCCTGGGGCAATGGGTCTTTTTCAATTCAAGACTGCCATCTGGGAAAGAGATGAGTTTTTTTCCCCATCCCACCTCCTTCCACATACAGTGGATCATCGCTTGTTCTTCTGTAGTCATTGAGTTCAAAGAAGTTGAGAATGACATCTGTCTCCTTGTACTCCTAACCCCACAGAATTTGGCTCTTTCTGGGTAGTGTTGCCTTATTTCAACTGCTGGGAAACTAAAGTATACCTAGTTGCTCCGAGTGGACTAGGAAGTGGGTGGCACAGCTGCCTAGTGTGTTCTGCTAAGTACAGAGATCCAGTACCTGGTCTTGGTCATGACCAGTTGGCAGGCAGTGGAATCACACCTCTTTGCT